TAAATCCTCCTAGGCACATGCAGGTACACATACATAAAAGTAATAATTAAATATTTAAAAAAAAAAAGAGAAGAGGGATGTCTCCTTAGCCTTATCAATGGGTTGGATTTTAACATACATCCTTGTATTTTGCTAAAATGGGTCAAACGAATGATCTCATTGTTTTAATACACATGGGCTGTCTCATTTGTAGTGTTCTTTTGTTTACAGCAAAAGGACATAAATTTACTGCACGCCTAAGGCACAGAAGTGGTGCGCTCCCTTAGCCGTGGTCTTGACTCATAGGGGTGGTATAGCTGGTATCTGTCTTTAAACTTTTTCAGGAACTTCCATATTTGGGGATGGTTTTGTGTGTGTGTGGCCTGCAGTCCCATTACTAGGGAAGTAGAGTCAGGAAGATCTGTGGTTCAAAGTCATCCTTGACTACATAAAAAGTTTGAGGCTTGCCTAGGCTATATAAATAAGACCCTGTTTGAGCTAGATGCTATGGCAAATGCCTTTAATCCAGAGTTCAGGAGGCAGAGGCAGGTGGATCTCTGTGAGTTTTGAGGCCAGCCTGGTCTACACATTCACTGAATTCCAGGACAGTCAGGGCTATGCAGGAAAAAAACAAAAAGGACCCTGTTTCAACCTCCCTTTCCTCTCCCAACTCTTGCTTACCTCTCACAAAATAAAACAAAACAAAACAACAAAAAACAACTGTTTTAGAAGCTGATAAACTCCTGGAAGGATATATGTAAGGTTCTGTTCTGCCTGCTTCATAGCAGATTCTGGGCAACTTCTGTAGTGCTTTTATTCTTTACGCTTGGTTGAGTTTTATTTTCTCTCTCTCTCTCTCTTTTTTTTTTTTTTTTTTGAGACAGGGTCTCACTATAGCCCTGACTGGGCAGGAATTCTGTAGACCTGGCTGACCTCAAACTTACAGAAATCTGTCTCAGCTTCCCTAAGTACTGGCATTAAAGATGTCCACTACACTGCCTGCCTGAGTTTTTTAACTTTTTTTTGTTTGTTTTTTGGTTTGGTTTTTCGAGACAGGGTTTCTCTGTGTAGCCCTGGCTGTCCTGGAACTCACTCTGTAGACCAGGCTAGCCTCGAACTCTGTTTTTCAACTTTTAAGTGCATGAAAATTCATCTTTTTAAGTGTACACACCTATAATCCCAAAACTAGAGTCTAAAGTAGAAAAGTTGGCAGTTGGAGGGTAGCTTGGGCTACATTGCCTATCCTAGCTTAAAAAAAAATAAGAATAAAAGGAAAGGCTGGCTTTCTTTCCTTCTTTTTTAAGATAGAGTCACGGGGCAGTGGTGGCACACGCCTTTAATCCCAGCACTTGGGAGACAGGCAGGTGGATTTCTGAGTTCGAGGCCAGCCTGGTCTACAGAGTGAGTTCCAGGACAGCCCGGGCTACACAGAGAAACCCTGTCTCAAAAAACCTAAAAAAAAAAATAGAGTCTTGCTCTGTAGCTAGGACTGATGTGCAACTCATGGCAACCCTCCTGCCTCAGCCTCTTGAGTTTTTAATTACCGTTTTTCATGAGAGGGTAGTATTTCAGACAGGGTCTCATGTAACCTACACTGGCCTCCAATTCACTGTGTTGTCGAAGATGACTTTGGATTTCTTTACCTCCTGTGAGACTGCCTCCCAAGTGCTAGGCACATTCTGTTTTTAGAACAAAAGGAGGTCATATGTGGCTTTTATTTGTAATAATGTGTAGACAGGGGTTTGAGGAGACAGCTCAGTCAGTGAAGTACTTGCCTCAAAAGTGTGAGAATCTGAGCTTAATTCTCAGAACACACATAAAAATGCCAGGCATAATGGTAGCAAGGGAGGCAGGTGGAGTCCTGCAGCTCCCTGCCCGTCTGATCTGTCCTAGTTGTTCAACTCCAGGCCAATGGGACATTGTGTCTCAAAGGAGGTGGATGGTGTTCCTAAGGACGACACCAAGGTTGTCCTCCAACCTCCACCTTAACATGCACACACTGAGTTATGACTGGAGACACCCAGTCAGCCCCGTGGAGGTTCAGACTCTGCTCAGGCAAGTCTCCTGCACCTGCTGTGGACCTGGTGATCCTTACACACCAGGTTCTCTGCCCAGGACCAACAATGGAGGGAAGAGGGAACACTGGCCCTTGGGGTTCTACCCGAAACTCTCTTATACCCAGGCCGTGGATCCAGGACATTGAGGGTGCCAATGCCAAGGAGCTCTGCAACAGTTCTTCAGCCAAGGCCCGGTCTGTTCCAGGTAAGATGCCCTGGAAGAGGTGAGCCGTATTTGCTTGAAAGACAACTCTAGGTAGTTTTAGGTACAGATTTATTCCTCTAGCCCTGCGAAGGAGGGTCCAGACCGCGCATGTTACTTACTTTCAACAATCGCCCAACTCACTGTCCGTCTTAGTTAGAGTTTCTATTGCTGGGAAGAGACACCATGATCACCAAAACTCTTATAAAGGGAAATTGAGGTTAGCTTACAGTTCAGAGGTCAGTCCATTATTGTCATAGCAGGAAGTGTGGCAGCATTGCAGGCAGACATGGTGCTGGAGAGGTGGCTGAGAGTTCTAAATCCGGATCAATGGACAGCAGGAAGAGAGTGACACTGGGTGTGGATTGGGCATCTGAAGCCTCAAAGCCCCGCCCCAGTGACACACATCCTCCAACAAGGCCATGTGTCCCAATAGTGTCAATGCCTATGAGCCTATGGGGCCATTTTCATTCAAACCACCACACTATCATAGCACCAGATTGCAGGAGGGTGGGGCTAAGCCTGGGGCTGCTCTGGGCAGCAGCCTCTTCTACCTCATGCCTATTTTGCCCACAGTTAAGCCATGTAAACAAGTCCAGATCCAGCCAAACACAGTGAACACCCTGGCCTGCCCACTCCTCTCAAACCTGGCTACTCGGCTCTGGCTGCACAATGGGACCCCGGTCAATGCCTCTGCCTCCTGCCGTGTGTTACCCACTGGGGACCTGCTGCTGGTGGGCAGCCAGCAGGGCTTGGGAGTGTTCCAGTGTTGGTCGATAGAAGAAGGATTCCGGCAGCTGGTGGCTAGCTACTGCCCAGAGGTGATGGAGGATGGGGTAATGGACCAAAAGGACCAGCGTGATGGTACCCCAGTCATTATTAACACCTCACGCGTGAGTGCACCGGCTGGTGGCAGGGCCAGCTGGGGTGCAGACAAGTCATACTGGAATGAGTTCCTGGTGATGTGTACTCTGTTTGGGTTTGCTGTGGTGCTTCTGGTTCTGTTCTTTCTCTATCGACATCGGGATGGCATGAAACTCTTCCTAAAGCAGGGCGAATGTGCCAGTGTGCACCCCAAGACTCGCCCTGTAGTACTACCACCTGAGACCCGACCGCTCAATGGCGTCGGCCCTCCCAGTAACCCACTTGACCACCGAGGCTACCAGGCCCTGTCGGATAGCTCCCCAGGACCCCGAGTCTTTACTGAGTCAGAGAAGAGGCCACTAAGTATCCAGGACAGCTTTGTGGAGGTGTCTCCGGTGTGTCCCCGGCCCCGAGTTCGACTGGGCTCTGAGATCCGAGACTCTGTGGTATGAGAGCCGACTTTAGCTGTGGCCACCCTGACCTCAGGGCTGTGAATGTTCAGTGGAGGTCAGCTACCTCTGCTTCTCACAGAACACAACCATGGTACCCTGCCTGGGAGGCAGCTGGTATCACAGCCCCAACACCCCAGCCAGCTGGTTCCAGTGTCTGGCCAAAAAGGGGGCTGCCTCCAGGGACCAGAGGGTCCTTGTCTGGGTGGCAGAACTCTGCTACTTAACTGAGCCCTTTGTTTAAAACTGCAAATGTGAAGCCAGAGAGAGAGGAAGGAGAGACAGACAAGGAAGACTATACAACACAGCCACTCCAATTCAGCCTGCTGGGCTCTTGGGGACTTCTCCAAAGTGGCTTTGTGAGCCAGAGTTGGGAATCCCTCCCCCACTGGACTATTCTACCTTCCGCCTTACTCTGCTGCTGAGGCTACCGTTTCTCACTGCAGAATCAGGGCCCTGCTCCAGCTTCAGCCAACTGAGGACATATCTGTGACCGCTGACACTCTACCACCTCAGGGACCAGAGGGCTAAGCTGGCTCTGCAGCCCTCCTCACCAGACCCTGGGCTCAGTCCCAGTTCCTGGACTTCTCCAGCCTGTATCAGGCTGTGGCCTCGAAAGCAAGGAAGTGACCCCAGGGGGAGTTGTGACAGAAGACTGATGTCCTGCTGTCCTTTTCCCAGTCAGAGAACTGTGTCCCTACCCACCTGTCTTCTAATTCCAACAGACTTCTGGATCCTCCCTGTTCCCTGTCCTAGCTCACCGTGCCCTTGTCCCCCATCACTCTAAGGGATACTGACACTGCCCCTCACACGGACCCTGGATTTACATGGGTTTTATATTTTTTTTTAATAAGATGCACTTTACTTTCTTTTTTAAATAAAGTCCGACAAATTATAGTTAATTGTGGCCCAGCCTCTTGAAGGACTTTGCTTTGTATATGTGTAATATGAATGCATGTGTGTGTGCACGTGGAGACCAGAGGCTATCCGTGGGTGTCATCCTTAGGAACTACGTCTGCCTTGTTAGACAGAGTCTCATCAGCTTGGAGTTCACCATTAGGATAGACTGGCTGGCTAGTGAGCCCAGGGACCTTTCTGTCTGCCTCCCCAGCATTGGGACTTCAGGACCAAGGCCTTCATACTTGTGAGGCAGATACTTGACTAAGTGAGCCATCTCCCCGGCCTGGAGCTGCTTTTGGATTTTATCTTTCGGGGGTTCAAAGCCTTTCTCTAAATTCTGACCGATGTTACCTGGTAGAATGTGGCCTTAGCAGGACAACTCCTTTTCCTCTGCACCCAGTTTAGGGTACAGGACAGGAGGATTTTTTTTTTTTTAAGTGAACTGTACTGTAAGTTCTCACACATGTGGAAATGAACTTCAGTATCTCCAAACGGGATGATCAGAGGCGCCTACATGTCCAGTCCTGCTGCCACTGTCATACAAGGAAGTCAAACATTTCTAAACCTTTATTACCAATTAGTAAACACAGTGATGACAACAGCAGTGACAAGGGGGAGGGTCCTCCCCTGCCAGGGGACCAGATTCTGCAGCGCCCACTCCAGGCTGGGCCGGCACTGGCCCTGACACCGCAGGCATAACCTTGGCCACATCTCAGCAGTGGAAAGGTCTTGGACAGGATGTTGGCACTCAGAAGCCATCACAGGACAATCTTAAAGGAGCTGCAGAAGGGAAGAGTGAGTTGCGTTTGGCTTTTTGGTTTGGTGTTGGGGATCAAACCCAGGGCCTGACGTGTTAAACATGTACACGCTACCACTGTGCTATACCCTGGCTCAAGCTGAGTTTTCTGATAGACAGGGGTGGTACAGACCTGACTAATCATACCCACTTCTCTCCTATGACTTTTTTTTTGTCCCCCTAAAACAAGTTCTGGCTGGCATGGAATTCACTGTGTAGACCAAGCTGGCCTTGCAGTGTCAACGAGTCTTCCTTTGCCTTCTGTGTACTGGTAGTATAGACCTGCACCACCACAGCCAGAGATTCCTGTTTGAGGAGGTGGACATAAAGATCAGAAAGAAGAGTGCTTGCATAACAGGTCTGAAAAACTCTGTTCAATTCATGGTACCTAGCACTTCCTCTAGGAAGGGAAATCAGAAGTTCAAAAGTCCAGGCTGGGTATGGTGGTGCACTCTTTTAATACCAGTAATGGGGAGGCAGAGGTAGGTGAAATTTAAGGTCAGTCTCAGCAACATAAAATCCTGCCTGAAAAAACCAAAAATGGAGTGCGTTGGATCCCCTGTGTCCCCTCTGAAAGAACATCCTGAACCATCCCTCCTCTAATACCATCCCAGAGTAGGTGGCACTGAGAAGGCAGGAGCTCCTGACACACCTGGCAAAGTCTGGTGAGCGAGAGATGACATGCTGGAACTCAGAGAGATTGATGGTCCCATCCCTGTCAATGTCTGACTCTTCCAGGATCTGAGGAAGACAGGTCTTCAGGCTTCACCTCCAACCCTTCCCACCCAACAAGCCCAGCCCAGCTAGAAGCCTCAGCTCACATTGTCGATGAGCTGTTTCATCTCAGAAGCACTGAGCCGAGTGTCCTCGCCCTCTCCTGTGAGGCAGTTCACAAGCCGGCTCAGGTCTTCTCTGTCCAGGGTTCCATCATCATCAAAGTCTAGGCAGCAGACACAGGAAGCAACAAGGACAGGCTCAAGAGGCGGTCCACAGGCACGCACGCACCTGCCCTCATCTCCTGTGTGGGAAGGAGTGGGGTCCAGCAGTTCTCACAGTGCTTACCAAAGATGCGGAAGGCATAGTGTGACTTGATGTCTGGGGTTGCTGTGTCACTGAAGACACTCAGGAGGTCCAGGAAGTCCTCAAAGCTCAGGCTGTCTCTGGTGGGTGACGTAGAGAAGACCATGCAGATTCGCTCCTTGAAGGGGTTGGCCTACGTAAGAAAGCCTTCTGAGAACATCACGGGGCATGGCCTGGGTTATATTCAGCTGGCTCAACTGGAAACTTCTTTTGAGGCGGGGTCTCATAAACCCAAGCTGACCTCAAACTCCTGATCCTCCTGCCTCTACCTCCCAGGTTCTGGATTACAGGTGTGCACAAGCATGCCTGATTCCCTTCTGGAAACTCGAGGAAGCTCATTACAGTAGCGGCACTATGGAGTTCAGGCTCGAAGGGGAGAACCTTTGAGGCCAGGGCATGGAGGGCACTGGAGGGACCACTAAGCCAGCCAGGAAAGGGACAGAGTTGCTCCCTGGGAGTCTAACTCACATACATCACAAGTAGAGTCATAGCAGAAAAAGGGAGGCATGCTAAAAGCAACAAGCAGAACTGATGACATGTGAGCACATGCCACTACACAGTGCGGAAATCAAGGATAACTTTTCATAGACAATTTTCTTCTATTATCATGGGTCCCAGGGATCAAACGGAGGTCCTCAGGCTTACAAGGCAAGAATTTTGTTTGTTTTGGGATTTTTTTGTTTGTTTGTTTGGTTTGGTTTTTCGAGACAAGGTTTCTCTGTATAGCTAGCCCTGGCTGTCCTGGAACTCACTCTGTAGACCAGGCTGGCCTCGAACTCAGAAATCCACCTGCCTCTGCCTCCCAAGTACTGGGATTAAAAGGTTTTTGGATTTTCAAGACAAGATTTCTTGGGCTGGAGAGATGGCTCAGGGGGTAAGAGCACTGGCCCCTCTTCCAGAGGTCATGAGTTCAATTCCCAGCAACCACATCGTGGCTCACAACCATCTATATATTGGATCCAATGCCCTCTTCACATAAGTAAATAAATCTTTAAAAAAAAAAAAAAAAGACAAGATTTCTCTATAGAGAAAGGACCAGGCTGGCCTCAGACTCAGTGATCCACCTGCTTCTGCCTCCCAAGTGCTGGAATTAAAGGCGTGCACCACTATACCCCTGGCACAAGGCAAGTGTTTTTTGGAGTTTCTTTTTGTGTGTTTTTAAATTATTTATTTATTTTATGTGAGTACACTGTCTCTCTTCAGACACACCAGAAGAGGGCATTGGATGGTTATTGATGGTTGTGAGCCATCATGTCGTTGCTGGGAATTGAACTCAGGACCTTTGGAAGAGACAGTCAGTGCTCTTACCCACTGAGCCATCTCTCCAGCCCCAAGGAAAGTGTTTTTATCTTCTAACCTACTTGGCTGGACCAAGCTGATCATTTCTAAATATACTTAACTGGATGATTGTTTTGTTACACAGTCAGGCTCTTTGCATAGAAGTTATAGATGAGTGTTATGGTGCATTCCTTTAATTCTAGCACTGAGGAGGCAAAGGCAGGTGTATCTAAGAGTTGAAGGAGATCCTGGTTTATATAGCAAGTTCCACCCAGGCCATCCAGGGCTCCACATGAGACCCTGTCTGAAAATAACAATTATAAGCCAGGCGATGGTTGCACAGGCCTTTAATCCCAGGCAGATCTTTTGAGTTTGAGGCAGCCTGGTCTACAAAACAAATTCCAGGACAGCTAGGACAGCTTTTTAAAAAAACAAAACAAACAAAAACAATAATTATTATTATTCATAGCAAGCTGGGCATGGTGATGCATACCTACAATCCTGGTGCTCACAAGGCAGGGAAAGGAGGAGTGAAGCAAGTTCAAGGTCAGTCAAGGCTACATAGTAAAAGCCCGCATCAGAAAAAGAAAGTGGTCGGTTAGCTCAGCCAGTAAAGTACTTGCCGTATAAACATAGAGGCCTGCATTCAATCCTTAGAACCACTGTTTTTAAAAGGGAAGAGTGGGCTGAAGAGATGGCTCAGTGATTACAAGCCCATACCGCTCTTGCAGAGGACCCTCGTTCAGTTCCTAGCACCTGTGGGGAGCAGCTCACAGCTGCCTATAACCCCAGCACCAGGGGATCCGTGCCTTTTGTACTCCACAGGCACCAGCACTTCAAGTGTACATATCCCACACAATTACACATCATCATCAAAATGAAACCCCCAGGGTGTGGTGGCATGTGCTTACAGTCAGTGGGAAGAGTTAGGGGACGTAGTAGTGGAGGGGGTGGATAAAGTAGGTAGAGGACTGAACCTTGAGCTCTGGAAGGCTGAGGACCTGCTCAAATGATACTCGGGTGTGCAGTGACTCCTCCACGGTCCGATGCTCTGGGGGAAGCAACTCGCAAAAGCGTCTGTGGGCTCTGGCAGACAGAGGGGGACTTACTGGTGGCCTCAGACAGTCTCCCTACATCCCCATTCTGCAGTTTGAGTGTCCCATAAACCAGCTGTGAAACTAAGTCGCACACCCAGGATTTATTCCCAGGCATTGGGCAACCTTCCACAGAGGAGGTAAGTCACAAAACAGCAGAGGCTTGGTGTCCCTTCTTAGGGTGGGTATTTACAGAGAAGAACTTAGCCTGTGTCTGCAGATACTGTATCTGAAGGGTCTCTGGCTCCCTCCACAAGGCCCCATTCCTTCTACCTTGCTACAAACCTACATTCCTAAAGCTAGCCCCCCAAGGTCTATTCCCTTATTTGCCCACTTCCTCATCCTGAGGCTGACTACTAAGGTCCAGCTCTCAAAGTATTGAAGTCCAGCAATCAGAAGCCCCCTTTGGCTCACCTAGTTAGCATGCCCAAGTAAAATTAAGCACCTCATCCTAACACAGGGTTTCCCCATGTAGCTTTATAAACTGCCATTTTCCTATGGGTCACATCTGTCTCCTCTCTATCCAGGGGCAGTCCTTTGTCCCACTGTAGGACAAATCCCCCTTCCCCCTTTCCCTTGTTGCCTTCCCCTTCTTCCTGTCCTCTGTCTCCTGTCTTTGCCTCTTATTCCTGCCCTCTGTCCCTCTAAGGTAAATAAATCTCCTTTGTGCTGAGAACTTGGTCTTGGGGGTCCTAAGCCGCTACTTTCCCTTTCAGTATTAGGCATTCTTTGTAACAATTCTGGCAGGAAAAAGAACTCAAGAGACATTTGTGCCTGTTCTTTGGCTACCAGAACTACAGAAACAATGTCTCCAAGAAATTGGAATTCCCCAGTAATCTCCTGTTGTAAGAAGGATGAAATGCCTGTTGTCTGCTTAGGAGGAAATGTCTATCAGGAAGAGATTTCACAGAGTTCTGGTAACTTGTCAGATCACCTTTCATGAGACTAGAGCTGAGACAATGAAGGAGAGACTCCATCTTCACCAGGACTGCTGCTTAGTTATACATACCTCTTGCCCTGCATTTAAATATACACCTCACATCAGCTGGACGCGAAGATTGACTTAAAGATGGGAGAGGGGCAGTCACTGGACCTCTTTGCTCCTTTTCCCAGTGTGGCCACATTGGATACATTTCGTTTCTCTGCTTTTGAACATTGTCCCTTTAATTGGCCTACTGAGGGCAGGAAGTGCAGTCTAGCTGGTTAGGACTGCCTGTGTGGACCAAGTTCCTGGACTCTAACATTACAATAACAAAAACACATGTCACCTTCACTCCAGGGACTCCTCTCTGCCACCACTTCTTTCCCAATGGGATTTCATTGCCATGGGGCTATTAGGAACCTCCTAACTCAAGCGCCCTGGCCATCAAATCACTTACAGTTTGCTTTATAGTCAAGTTACTAGAACACTCTGAACCCAGTTCCTTCACCTGTAACCTCCTCCTGAAGACTTAAGTAATGTGGGAATCACTCAGCAGCTCCTGGGCAGAGTAAGGGCTCAGTAAACGTTAACGGTTACTGAATTAAACAGGTAAAGTTGGGATTAGAGCGAGCTACACTCAAGACAAACTGGTTTTGCCAGAGGGCAAAGTCCGCATAGACCCACAGCAGTTCCCTTCAGAAGAGAGCAGGAAGCTCGGCAGTGAGGAGGCTGACGAAGCTAGCGCAGCTCAAACAGCTCAACTTTTCCTGGATACACAGAAGTGTTTGCGACGTGCAAAGGTGAGGCTGTGGTGCGGGCGGGACTTGCACTCTGGGCCTCCGATTCAAGATCCAGTGATCCTGACATCCCTGAAGCACGGCCCCACCCTCGGAGGTGAGGCGTCCAGTCCGTACCCCACTAGAAAAGCACCCGCAAAGCCCTCCCCCGGCAACCCCGAGTTGGAGGACTTGGGCAGCACTCACAGGAGGATCTCCTGCTTGGTCAGGAACGTCAGGTCCTGAAAGGCAAATCCAGACAAGGGTCTGCAAGCCGCCCGAAAGCCACGGCCGCCCCGCCACCTGTTCCCGAACCCCACTCCCCTGCTCAGGTCCGCACGCGAGTTCCGCGAGAACTGGCGCCCCGCGCACCTGGTACTCGGCCAGCAGCTCCTTAGACAGACGACTGCCCGAACCTCCCATCGCTGCGGTGCGCGCACAGCTCGGCCAACTCTCCCCGGGACGCCGGCAACTTTCTCACTTCCGTCCTCGGGGCCGCGTCCCCGCCCAGTCCTCCGTAGCAACCGCTGCTCGGCCTCCGCCCCCGGGCCCGCCCCTGCCTACAATGCCCCGCCACACTTAGCGCCGCTCAGCGGGCCAGCTCCCGGCTCCTCGCGGGCCCAGGAGAGCCGGAGGGAGGGCCCGGGGAGGAGCCGGACTCGCCGGGGCGGGGCCCAGGCCTCATGGCCCCGCCTCCTTGTGGGCGGGGCAAGGACGCGCCTTGCGCACGTGATACAGACTGCGCCTGCGTCGCGACCTCCACGCCTTCGCTGAGTTCCGGGACCGGTCTGTGCACAGAGCCTTGAGATGCATCCGCCTCACCTAAAGCCAGTGCAGGAGACCCCAGCTCTGGGTGGAGGCGGGTAGCCTCCATACTCGCTCTTGGGCTAGAGGAGATCCGGTGCCCTTCTGCCGATAGAGGCAGTCTTAGATTGTCTCACTGGACAAGAGCTGCAGCCTCTGCCACCGTGCCTCTGCCACCGTGCCAACTCTTCCGGAAGAAGCTTAGCTTGCTCTCAAAGTGGCTCCTGAAGGTGTTTATTGGATTGTTCAGTTATCACCCATTCGTGGAACAGTTGACAAGGTAGGCTTCCATTTTACAAACATAGGTTCAATTTCACTGATGTGTCCAGACTCAGGCGTTTAGAGGTCAGCTCTGTCCACAGATCCCCACTGTTGTTTTATCGGCACAGCTGACGTTCCTCCTCTGATCCTTCCCACAAATTGCGAGCTTCCAGCTGTAGGGACTAAGGTTGGTCTATTTGCCCTTCTCTCCTCTCAACCTTCAGGACATTGAAATAATTATCAGATGCAAGTGTGAATGAACATATTTACACTGCGTGAAAAAGTGAAGAGCCCAAGCGTCTGGGAGGAGCAAACATGGTCAACTTGATTGGATGTGGAGTCAAGCAGAAGGCAAACTGCTGGGCATTCCTGTGAGGGATTTTCTTGATCAGCTTATGACACACTGTGCAGTGCGCTCAGGTGGCAACCTGTACAAAAGGGAAACGGAAGATGGAAACTCGGCTTTTCGCCTGTTTGCCTTGGCTTGCTGATAAGTGTCTATCCTGTTCCTGCCACTAAGGAGTTCCTTTGATGACGTTAGAATCATCGTCTTCCAGCTGCCAATTCAGACTGAAGACCAACAGCTCTCTAGGAACCCTCCAGGCCTTCAGCACCGTATTGGGACTGCTGAGACACCCACCCTTGTGAGCAGCTGCTACTGTTGGTCAGCCCAGACCATATTGAGTAAACCAATCTAATAAATCCCCTCTTAATAAATATTCATCAATTCTGTTCCTCTAGAGCAGAGGTTCTCAGCCTTCCTAATGCTGCAACCCTTTAATGCAGTTCTTCACGTTGTGGTGACCCCCCCCAACCATAAAATTATTTTCCTTGCTACTTCATAACTGTAATTTTGCTACTGTTATGAATCATTATGTAAATATCTGTGTTTTTCAATGGTCTTAGGTAACCCCTGTGAAAGGGTCATGACTCACAGGTTGAGAAACGCTGTACTAGAGTAAGCTAATACAGATTCATTTCCCCTTGTCCCCCAACCCATAATATATAAGCAAAAGACAAGTAAGGTTATAAAAAAAAATCCCAAAATACCATTGATTTTTAAAGGTTTATTTATTTTATTTATATGAGTACACTATAGCTGTCTTCAGACACACCAGAAGAGGTCATCAGATCCAATTACAGATGGTTGTGAGCCACCATGTGATTGCTAGGGATTGAACTCAGGACCTCTGGAAGAGCAGTCAGTGGTGCTCTTAACCACTGAGCCATCTCCAGCCCTCATTGATTTCATTTTGTGTTGTCCATCTACTGCATGGAGCCTGCCCTTGAGTGTGCTTGGTATATCCAGTGAGACTCCCAGTGTACAGATTTATTCTTGATCCTTCTAACTCATTCTAATTCTGAGCTTTATTAAGCCTGAGCATGCATATCACAGTTTAAAGTTATTAAATAAGTTGGACCTGGTCTGTAAGCCCAGCTACTTAGGAGACTTGTATCACAAGATCACAAGTTCAAGGATAGCCTGAGCAACATGGTAAAACCCTAGCTTTAGACTTTAAATAATAATAGTAATGAAATAGGGGGTAGTAATGTATTTCAGGGTTTCTATTGCTGTGATAAAACACCGTAACCAAAGCAACTCGTGGAGGGAAGAGTTCATTTCATTTTACAACTCTCAGGTTAACTCTGTCACTGAGTAAAGTCCAGATGTCAACCTGGAAGCAAGCACTTAAGTGGAAGCCATGAAGAAACACTGCTTCCTGGCTTGTTCCTCATGGCCTGCTCCAACTGCTTTCTTATTCAGCCCAGGACCATTTGCCCAGAGGTAGTATCACCCACAATGTGCTGGGCCTTCCCATGTCAGTCATCAATCGAGATGCTTGCAGACTTGCCTACAATCCGATGGAGGCAATCCCTCAGTTGAGATTTCCTCTCCCCAGATATGTCTAGGTCCATGTCACGTTGACAAAAACAAACAAAAAACTACTAGTGCATCCTGTAACTCAGTCTAACATGTTAAAGCCCTAGTGTCAATCCCCCAGGACCCAAAAATAAGTAAGTCAAACAAGTACAGAAAAAAAGAAAAACCAAAGAAAAAAAAAAAGAAAAAGAAAAAAAAAAAAAGAAAAACTATTATGTCTCAGTAAAGATGGGGGAGAAGGAAAACAGACAAGGGAGTAAACAACAGTAACCTTTTGTTTATGACAAACCTGCCAGGGGGGTGGTCTCTGGCCTAAGAATCAAGCCTACTGTCTGAGGGTAGGCAGACAGTCTGAGGCAGAACATGTTGGGATGGGGTTGGTTGGAAGCCTTCCTCTTTTGGCCTGCCATTGGCCATTGCCAGGGGTAAGTAATGATCAGAGTGTCAGGTGATCAGTAAGTATCTTTCATGGCCAGACATTATTAGGGAGTGTGTATAAGGCACAGAAGGAAAGGATCTAGAAAAACAATTACCTTAGTTCTAGAAATCAAATGATTTTGGTTTTGGAATTTGTCACTACCTAGCCAAAATTAAGGTGGTTTAAAAAAACTGCTCGGATGGGGCTAACAGTCTCAAGCCCCAGGCCTGGCCCTCTGGGAGCAGGCTTCCTTCTTTCTGTTCCTCTTGGCTCCCCACGTTCCAGCCACTGTGGATTCTCACCTCCATTCTCCTCCTACAGCAGGCATCCCGTGCGAGCCTCCTAGGATCTACACAGAGGATCCAGTACTCTCCCACACATGTGTCTCATGTTTGCAGTTTCAGTTGACTCTGGTTATCGTTGGGCTAAAGTCTTTCTCCTCCATTCTGCAAACCTCATAAGGAGCGCTGAGACCCATGATCTCCCAGACCTGAGCAATGGCACTTGCTCAGTGTTTACCGAGTGACAGTTTTCCCTGCTTGCATAGTGAGGTAACCATCTGTGTATGACATCACTATTTTCATGTATGATTTCCACTGGCATAGAAACTAAGTGACAGGCGCCCATGGTGATGCCTAAAGCAGTCATTTTTCTATGGGACAGGTCTTTTCTTTTGGCTTGTTGTTAAGATAGGCTCATGTAGTTCATACTGGCCTGGAACTGGCTATGTAGCTGTAGCTATTTTTATTTTTAATTTTTTTGTAATTTTTTATTTTGTGTGTCTGTGAATTGAGTGTATGCATACATGTGTCTGGAGGTGCCATGGAGGCCCCAGGATGTTGGAACTCTTGAAGCTTGAGTTGCAGACAGTTGTGAGCTACCTGGTCTAGGATTGGAACCACGGTCTTTGTGATTGAGCAGCAAGCACCCTGAATTGCAGAGCCGTGTCTCCCGCCCTTAGTCTTGACTTTTTTATTCTCCTGCCGCTGCTACTCAAGCCCTGGGATTTGTAAGTGTGCGCCGTCATGTTCTGTTTCTGACTAGCTCTTTTTAAATTTAATTTTTATGTGATTGGGTGTTTTACCTGCATGTCTGTGCATTGCATTGTGTGTGGTGCCCTTAGAAGCCAGAAGAGGGTGTCAGATCCCCATGTGAGTTCTAGGAATTGGACCTCTGGAAGAGCAGCAAGTGCTCTTGGCCATTGAGCCATCTCTCCAGCTCCCCCCCACCCCCAGAGTATTTTAATTTGCATTTTCCTGATGGCCAAAATATTGAACACTTAAAAAATATTAACCACTTGTATTTTAATTTAGAAAAAAGTGGCCTGTATACTTATTAAAACTTAGGTTGAATTCTATATATCTTTTTTTCTTTTTCTGGTTCACCAGTATGCATGTCTGGATCAGCAAAGCTAAGGGAACACACATTTAGTCTGAAACTGATCTACCTCTGTCTCCCTCCCCTCTCTTGTCTATCTCTGTCTCTCTTTCTTTCTCCTTATCTCCCTCTTTCTCTCTCTACTGCAGGTTCTTATTATGTAGGCTGTTGTGGACCTAACATTGTGGTTCTGAGAGCCTGACAGATGCTGGGGTTGAAGGCGTGCCTCACCACCCTGACTCTCAGTCTAATTCTTATTTTATTATTTGAGAAAGGACCTTATGTGGCTTAGACTGGCCCCAGATTCGCTATGTAGTCAATGCAGTGCTAAACTTCAAATCTGCCAAGTGCTGGGTTCACAGGCTTGTGCCACCACACCCAGATTATTCAGTCCTGGGGATCAAACTCAAGGCTCGGTGTATGCTAAGCAAGTAGTCTACCAACCGAGCTACATCCGTAGCTCTCAGAAAATAAATTATATATATAGGTATGTATGTATGTATATATATATATATATATATATATATATATATATATATATATATAGAGAGAGAGAGAGAGAGAGAGAGGAGAGAAGGTGTTGAGTTTATATGACGTTTGTGTATGATACATGTGTGAGTGTGTGTGTTCGCATACACCTGCCACACATGTGGCGGTCCCAGGACAACCTTGGGTGTTTGTCTCCACCTCCATCTCATGGTAGGAACACTGACATTACAGCCACATCATGTGACCACCTTTAATTAGGTTCCGGGGATTTGTGGTGGTTTGAATGTGCTTGACCCAGGGAGTGACACTATTAGGGGGTATGGCTCTGTTGAAGAAGGCGTGGCCTTGTTGAAGGAAGTGTGTCACTTTTGCTTTGAGCCCTCCTCCTAGCTGCTGGAAGGCAGTCTTCTGGTTGCCTTCAGAACAAGATGTAGAACCCTCAGCTCCTCCAGCGCCATGACTGCCAGGATGCTGCTATGCTTCCCACCATGATGATAATGGATGGAACCTCTGAGTCTGTAAGCCAGCTCCAATGAAACGTTTTCCTTTACAAGAGTTGCGCTGGTCATGGTGTCTCCTCACAGCAATGGAAACCATAAGTAAGACAGGATTCAAACTCAGTTCTTCACATTTGCAAGACACCTTACTACTAAGTCATCTTTCCAGTTCTTTCAAAGCATACATACATATATACATACATATATTGTTTTCTAATTGTGTGTGTGTGTGTACACCTGCATGCATGTAAAGAGGCCTAAGAGTGTCAAGTATCTTCCTTGAACTGCTCTCCACTTAATTTACAATATTCTTAGGTTTACACTTACTGGTTTGTGTATGGATACACACGTGATGCTAAGATGACCTGTAGGAGTCTGTTCTGTCTGTCTCCATGGAGTTTCAGGGTGTGGAACTAAAGTCATCAGGCTTGGCAGCAAGTGCCTTTCTCAATGAGCCATCTCACCAGTCCCTTCGTCTTTATCTTTTGAGAGTTCCTTTTCTCTCTGTGTTTGTCTAAATTTATTTTGATTGGCCGATTGATTTTGAGACAGACAGGGTCTCTCTATATAGTTCTGGCTGCCCTGGAACTCAATATGTAGACCAAGCTGGCCTTTGAACTCACAGAGATTCCCCTGCCTCTGCCTCCAGAGTGCTGAGATTGTTCAAAAAATAAAACAAAACAAAAAAACCAACTGGCTCTGCCTCCTGAATGCTGAGATTAAAGGCTTGTGCCACCACGGCCAGATCAAAATATATTTTAATATTTGTATTATATTTACTTGTGAGCAAGTGCATATGTAAGGCTAGAGGACAACTTGTAGGAAGTTTCTTCTACCGTGTGCATCTAGGGTATCAAACTCAGGTTGTCAGGCTTAGGCATCTCTCAAGGCCCACAAAATATGTTTTTAATTCAGTAAAAACACCCTCATTTGCAGATGCTGGAATTAGGGACAATGTCTATGCTGTCTAAATGTTTTACAAAGGTCACATTATCTGTTACTTTTTAAATTTCATTTGAAATTTCAGGATTTTTAAATACAGTGCAAATGAGGGGGGCGGGGTGTATCTGGTTCATTTCAGCTCCTTTGCTTCCAAACCAAGGGGGAGGGGCTGCCCAGCTCCCCTGCCTTCTCCTTATCATGACATTCAGGGTGTGAAAGTACCTGCTGCATCGGACCTTGAATGGCACATTACCCCTGTGCTCTATCTGAAGGGTCTGGAATCCTTTTTGCCTGGCTATGAGCCGCAAATCCTTGACCTCCACAATTTTCTGAGGCACGGTGACAGATTCCTACCATTTTTATAATCAGAATAGGAATATGATTCCAAAGTAATCTTTGGAAATGAGCTGGTCTTGTGTATTTATATACTCTCCTTTGTTTTAGGTAGCCTTCATGGCTGTTCCACACCACTCACAGGAGACTTCTTATCTGCTGCCTCCAAATCCTGAGGACTGGGAGGAACAAGGCATCCCGGACTTTGTCTATGGACAAAAGGATCTCGTTGGCGAGGAAGTTCAGTGGCCAAGGAATTCACCTAGTGCTGTGGACTCACTGCCGCTCTCCCGCTTTGACTCTGCCCTCTGCTCTGCATGGAGGCAGCGGGTGGAACTGGGCCTGTTTCGATACCGCCTAGAAGATCTGCAGACCCAAATCCTCCCTGGTTCCGTGGGGTTTGTAGCTCAGCTGAATATAGAGCGAGGGATACAGAGGAGGCGCCCCCAGAATATCAAAAGTGTGAGGCAAGAGTTTGACCCGGAACAGTTTAACTTCAATAAAATCCAACCTGGAGAAGTCCTTTTCCGTATGCAAAGGGAGCCTAATGGCCCAGCTGCTCCAAAGCAAGAGGAGGTCCTTGTAGTGATCAATGTCAGCCCCCTGGAGTGGGGCCATGTGCTGCTGGTGCCTACACCTGCTCATGGACTTCCCCAAAGGCTGCTGCCTGGAGTGCTACGTGTGGGGCTAGAAGCTGTCCTACTGAGCTTGCACCCAGGCTTCCGGGTGGGCTTTAACAGCCTGGGAGGTCTGGCCTCTGTGAACCATCTTCACCTGCATGGCTACTACCTGGCCCACCCACTGCCTGTGGAGGGAGCGCCAAGCACACCCCTGGACCCAAAAGGTTGTATACATCTCCTGCAGGCCCTCCCTGCTCCTGGCTTTCTCTTTTACACGAGTGGGCCAGGACCTGATTTGGAAGCGTTAATTCGCAGGGTATGCCGAGTTACTGACTACCTGAGTGACCATGAGATTGCACATAACTTATTTGTGACCCGGGGAGCTCCGCCTGGGCAGACATCATCTACCTCAGGCCTCAGTGGGATCCGAGTCATCCTGTGGGCCCGGAAGTCCAGCTTTGGAATAAAGGAAAGTGGGGCCTTTAATGTTGCCCTCTGTGAGCTGGCTGGCCACCTCCCTGTCAAAACATCTCAAGACTTCAGCAGCTTGACAGAGGCAGCTGCAGTGGCCCTCATTCAGGACTGTCTGCTGCCCCAAACTCAGGCAGATGAGGTACAGGCAGCGCTGGTGGCCCTGATGGCCCAGGAAGCACTGTGATCCTTCAGGAGTGTTTTCTTTGGGGACTGATTTGAAGCCCTTTCCCAAAGGCTGTGGTTCAGTCCATTTGTGTGTTTCATTTCATGACTGCCTTCCCACTTCCCCACTTAAGGACTGCAAAGAAAGCACTGAGTGAATGTGTTCCCATGGACATTTCTGCTGCCTCTCACCTCTCTTCTTAGACAAGCCCCAGGGTAACAGATCTACCATGAAGGGCCAGATCCTACCATTTCAGAGGGAAGAATGCTTGGTGCCGAGTCTGTTGACCTGAGTTCAACCACCAGAACCCCTAGGGTAAAGGTTGTCTTCTGACTTTCACATGTGCACCATGACATACACACGTGCATACACACACATACACACACACACACGCACGCACACACAAATGTATCTCAATTTTTTTAAAAAGTAAATGTAAAAAGAATTTTTCTTGTTTTGTTTTCTTTTGTTTTTCAAGACAGGATTTCTCGGTACAGACCTGGCTGTCCTGGAACTTTATAAACCAGATCTGCCTGCTTCTGCCTCTTGAGTGCTGGGATTAAAGGCCTGTACCACCACCACCCTGCTAAGGAAAAAAAAAAAAAAATTTAAAGGAGAGTATGAGAGTTTCACAGTCCTGATTTGTCAGTGTTCTGAGACTTGTAGGTTGATCTAAGAAAGAGGATGAAATACGGCAGCAGGGAGATCCAGCCTCTGAGGACTTGCTGTCAAACAGCCACCCAAATGCATGTATTGACTGTTACAAAAAAAGTTGTGGGTTTTTTTGGGTAAAACAAATTCCTCATACCAAATCTAGTCTGTAGGTTTCCTGAAGGAGGACCTCACGGGCCTGCAGCTTCAGTCCGTGTTGTGTACTGTTTGCAGTACCCAACAATGCCCACTCCAGGTGTGCCAGGATTAGTGACCAGGACTTTGCAGTCTCTGCAAAGGCTGCGAAGCTCCTTCAGAAACACAGTCCTGTAGATAGGAGAAAACAATCACTCTTTGCTTCAATGATTTCCTCAAGTTCAAAGTACTTCTAGCAAACAACCATTCTGATGTCTACCGTAGATTCTAGTGCTTCTCCTAGATTTTTTGCTACACCGGTTGCTATCTGGACTTCGCCTTTGGTGTGAACCATTGGCCTCTGCTTTGTTACAGATGCATCCAGCTACCCTGTCTTACCTTTGCTCCTGTCCCCTTGTGTGCCACTGACTTTTACAGGGTCTCATGGTGTAGCCCTGGCTATCCTGGAACTTGCCCTTTATACCAAGCTGATGTTGAACTCAGAGAGTCTGCCTGCCTCCGCCTCCTGAGTGTGAGCTACTAAGCTCTGTAGCCCAAACTACCCTCAAACTCCTTAAATCAAAGAACCCTGTCTTAGTTTCCTGAATCTCTGGGACTCCAGCTTTGCCTATGGCTGGTTCATTGGCTGACTTTGCCCCTCCCCCCTTATATTTTTGACACTGCTTCATCCAGGTGTTTAACTTCTTTAAATCATCATCATCACCATCACCATCATCATCATCATCATCATCTATCCTTTCTTATAGCTGCCAATGACAGAGTTGACCAGTGAGTTCAAAGCCAGTCTGGGCTAAATACCAAGACTACCTCAAAAATTGTTTTAAACATGCTGGTCATAGACCACAGAGATAGCTCAGAGGATATTAACACTGTGTGCCATCAACACAGTGACAGGCATTTAATCCCTAGGATCCACTTAGTTCAAGGAGAACCAACTCCTGCAAATGGGTCTTTCACTTCCCACACATGCACCAAGTAAATGTAGTAAGTTTTCTGTTTGTTTTAAGAGACAAGGTCTCTGCTGGGCAGTGGTGGCGCATGCCTTTAATCCCAGCACTTGGGAGGCAGAGGCAGGCGGATTTCTGAGTTCGAGGCCAGCCTGGTCTACAGAGTGAGTTCCAGGACAGCCAGGGCTATACAGAGAAACCCTGTCTCAAAAAACAAAAAAAAACAAAAAAACAAGGTCTCGCTATGTAGCTTTGGCCTCCAACCCACAGAGATCCAACTGCCTCTGGCTCCTACATGCTAAGATTAAAGGCATGGGCTACCACAGCTGGCTAATATTCTTAAAGAAGTGCTGGTCCTTTTATTGCTTCCAATGAACAGATGAAGAAATGGTTGTTGACACAGCCACTTCCTTAGGTTGGGCAGCTAATGACAGTCAAGGCTGCAGCACAGGCAGTGAGCTGTCAGACTTGGTACAGTGTATACTGGAGTCTCCTGTCAGCATTTCCCATGGTGGTAGTGCTGTCTTTTACAATTGATGGTCCCCAGGGATCTTTCTGCAATTAAGTTTCTGTGCCCCTTCGTGTAGTTGAGTCAATCCGGGATGTTTTTAAAAGTCTCATTGTGATTACACATGGCCTAACACTTGGGAGGCTAGGATTGAAGACTGCTACAAATTCAAGGCCAGCTAAGTTACAAGTCTTACTCCTGTATTTTTTTTTTTTTTAAATGGATGGAGAGATGGCTCATCAGTTAAGAGTGATGGCTGAGCCAGGCTCAGGAAGAAGATGTCTGTGACTTGGAGGCTATCCAGAGCTACTTGAGGAGATCCTGTCTATGAAACAAGCCAAAACCAAGCCAGTCTAGGTGGCATAATGTCTTTAATCAATTACTCAGGAGGTAGAGGCAGTCAGAACTCTATGAAAGTTTGAAGCCAGCCTGGTTTACATAGTGAGTCCCAGGCCAGCCAGAGCTATGAGAAACCCACATCTCAAAACAAAAACACCTACAAATATTAAAACCAACCTCTTTGAGATTCCAACATAGACTGAAGATCTGCAGCTCTCCAAGAATCCTTCAGGCCTCCAGGGCCAGATAGAGACATCCAGCCTTGTAGGCTGAACAGCTACTGGATTCTTGGCCTTTCCAGTGTGAGACAGCCTCTACAGCTATGTTCCTTTAGAGAGTCCTGACTAAGATACTTGCACAAGAGTTGAACAAGATCACGCTAAGCCACCCATGTTCCAACATAGACAGGGGAAGTCTTTGGAGACACTGTTACTATTTACAAGATCTACTTTTTTTTTCCCAAAGGGGAGGGGGTTTATTCAGGGCAGAGGGCAGAGGTAGGGAGAAAAATGGGAGAAGATGGTGGAGAAAGAGAGAGAGAGGAGAGAAGAGGAGGCCGGCCATGACCACGTGGAGAGAAGGGGAAGGGAAGGGAGAAGGGAGGAAGGGCAAGGAGAAGCTAGAGGCAAAAGAGTAAGAGAGTAAGAGGAGATCTACTTTTTTTTTTTTTTTAATTTGGTCAATCAGTTGGTTTTTGTGAGACAGGGTTTGTCTACATATCCCTGGCTTTCCTGGAACTTTCTTTGTAAACCAGGCTAGCCTCAAACTCACAGAGATCTGCCTGCCTCTCCCTCTGAGTGCCACAACACTCAGGTTTTCCTAGGAATTCTAGTTCACTCCTAGAACTCACGAGGAAGCTCAAGATGACCTTGAACTTCTGAATCTCCTGCCACCTCCCACAAGCTAGGGTCACATTGGTATATCACTATGCCTGTTTTATGGAGTGCTACAGGTCAGACCCAGGGCTTTGGTCATCACACTGTCCAACTCATCCATATCCCAGCCCCATGTCTTTTTAAAACATTTTATCTTTTTTTTTTTTTAAGGTTTTTCGAGACAGGGTTTCTCTGTGTAGTCCTGGCTGTCCTGGAACTCACTCTGTAGACCAGGCTGGCCTCGAACTCAGAAATCTGCCTGTCTCTGCCTCCCAAGTGCTGGGATTAAACATTTTATCTTATTTATTAACTTATTGTGTGTTTGTGTCTAGATCAGGGGATACATTTTGGGAAGTCATTTCTCTCCTTCCACCTTAGTGATCCTGAGGAGTCTCTAACTCAGGTCAAAGGCTTTAAGGACTAACAAGACAGCAGATTTGTTGACTATAATAAAAATATTCTTGAATGTACAAAAAGAAAATCACATAGACTCCTCCACCCCCACTACAAGGCTCAGGAAATGTGGAGACATAAAGAAGGCAGGACTAGGGATGAAGAGTTCTGTAAAATGCAGTCGTGTGGACATGGCATTGCACTCGCAATCATGAATTCATAGAGACTGGTTCAAAGACCTGCATAAGGCAGTTTTTGTCAACATCCTGGCGGGGAGTGGGGAAGGAGGTACACATGAGGCCCTGCCTCTAGCTGAGTAGCTTGTTGGCAGTTGATAGCTGCTAGGAAAAGCAGAATCAATTTTCTTGAATGTAACCAGCGAAAAGTTGTCCGTGACCTACTAAGTAACGCCACACTAATGTACATGCAAGGTACCCTAATTAAACTCAGTCATTTAAAAGCAAGCAAACAACATGAATTTAGGAGGTGGATGTGTTTGGAGGAAGGGTTCCAAAGGCAGTGGGAGAGAATAAGAGAGAATTATAAGGTGAATATGGTCAAAATATATGCATGAACTTGTCAAAGAATAAAGAGTCTTTTAAAAAAATGCTGATTTTAAAAGTAAAAGAGAGAGAGAGAGAGAGAGAGAGAGAGAGTCTGAAGAGATGGCTCAACAGTTAAGATCACTTACTACAGCCGGGCAGTAGTGGCGCACGCCTTTAATCCCAGCACTTGGGAGGCAAAGGCAGGTGGATTTCTGAGTTCGAGGCCAGCCTGGTCTACAGAGTGAGTTCCAGGACAGCCAGGGCTACACAGAGAAACCCTGTCTCAAAAAGCGAAAAAAAAAAAAGAAAAAAAAAAAAAGATCAGTTACTACTTTACTTCTTTTATAGAGAACCAAACTAGGGTTTGGTTTCTAGCACTCACATGGCAGCTAACAATGATATGTAACACAAGTTCCAGAGAATTGATAACTTCTTCTAGCCTCTGTGGGCATTGTACACATGTAGTACTCATATATAAATGCATGCAAAATACTCATACACAAAAAAAAAATACATCTTCAAAAGAATAAAAGAGGGGGGCTGGAGAGATGGCTCATTGGTTAAGAGCACTAACTGCTCTTCCAAAGGTCCTGAGTTCAATTCCCAGCAAGGACATGGTGGCTCACAACTATTTGTAATGGGATCCAATGCCCTCTTCGGTTGCGTATGAAGACAGCATAGTGTACTCATATAAATAAAATATTTTTAAAAAAAAGAATAAAAGAGGGGCTGGAGAAATGTCTCAGTGGTTATAGGCACTGGCTGCTCTTCAAGAAGACCTGGGTTCAATTCCCAGGACACATATAGCAGCTCACAAACATCTGTTAACTCCAGTGACAGGAAATCCAACACCCTTTTCTAGCCTCCTCTGTCACTATGCACATATGGTGCACAGATGTGCAGTCAGGCACACACAGAGACACATAAAATAAAAAGTTTAAAGAATAAAACATGCAAGAGAGATGTCTCA